GTTAAGGCTTGGGCAAGACACAACTTATTTTTTAGATGTGGTGGGGTTTTTTTGGTGGGTTTTTTTTTTTTTTTTTTTTTTTTTTTTTGTACTTGGATACCTGCAAAAAACCCCCACCACCACTAGAATATTTAGGGTGCTACTAAATCTTCAGGAGGGTGGGGCGGAAAGAGAGTTGTTTTCCTGAAATTGCAGCTCTTTCCTGCTGCAAACTACACTGAGAAGAAAGTTGCCTCTTCTGGTGCCTAGACAAGGAGCAAAGGACAACCTGCTGGAATCACAATGGGCTGTGAACAGTGTCAAGTCAGTTTGGCAAGGGAATCATTCTGAAAGTTTCAACTACCAAATCTTGACAAGGATATTTGAGTTAGGAAAGATAAAGGGAACAAAATAGAGGAAGGGATTTTGACAGGATCTGTGACTGTGAATGAAATGAAGGGCCCGAGAATTGAGCCAGAGGGGAGAGTGGAGTTCAGGAATAGATGAAAGAAATTGGGGGGAAAGTCTCTGTGCCTGACAGGGTATGTTGCTGGGAATGAAACCCAAGAACCTTGGCTCAGCATTTCCCTGCTGCCCACAAGGATCCACAAAAATGTGGCTGTAATGCTGGGACTCCTGGAGGATGGTAACCAATTACTGTAACTATTCTTTTATCTTTGTGACTGAACATTTTTTTTGCTCTAGCCTGGAGGGTTGGGGCAGGAGGACTGGAGACTGTGCTGAAAGACAGCAGTAAAGAACATAGCGCTGCACTGACAGGAAGTCTCAAAATTCAGGGTGCCCATGGGATCTGAACTTGCTCCCTTTCCCATTTAGAGGTAAGTATAAAGATACAAATCTTTGCTAGGCACATCTTTTCCCCACAGGATCAGCTTACTCTCAAAGTAAACCAAACAGCATTTCTTTGACAAACAGATTTCCAGTACTTTGTCTTGTAATTCTCTGTGTGGCTCTATGCCTCACTGGCTGCTCATTGATCAATTCCCACTTTGAATAATGAATTAGCAAGTCCTATTTATGTTGTTCATCACTGGAATACACAAGTATACGCAGATCCAAAACAGGAACAGCTTTTAGTCATGTCACCAATATTTAACTTGGTAATTTATTATTTTGAAAGTAAAGCTTTATTTCCCAGGCAGGTTGTGTAAAATGCTTGTCCTCATGGGTCCAAATTTACAATCCAACAATTTCAGAACAAGAATACTCAGAACTTATTTATCTGGATTTCCATTTTTATGAAGCCATCTAAGAAGTCATGAGAGAAAACAGGATTCCAGAAAAAATAGGATAAAAATAAAAAGAGGGAGACCATCATTGCCTCATAGGCCTTGGAGAGAAAGATGACAAGACAAGCAAAGCAACATGCATGGAAAGAGAGGCAGAAAAAAACAAAGCTATTAGTACTAGTAGAAGAACAACTTTTCCTAAGTCCCACTCCAGCATCTATCCATTCACTCTCTCCTACACAGCCATACTGTTTTTCTCTAATAGCTCCCATAGAGCTTTTAATGACTAGGATTACAAAAAATTGAGGCTTATGACCTACACAGGGAGTTGTATTATTCCCAATTTACAGAAGGGGAAAACTGAGGCATGAAGCAACCTCATCTCTTCTCTCACATAAGCAGAGGGCAGGGACTGAAGGTAAAGCTGTTCCTTTGTTTCCTCACCAGAAAAGCAAACACTGTGCATTTTGCTAGAATAGAATATTGAGATTCTTAGGTAATTTTTATTCTCAGGTGCTGCATTTCTATGGAAACTTACCTTTTAGAGGTATTTTAGAAATGCTGACTCCTTTTAAAAATTCTGTTTTCCTTACCTACCTTTACTGCCGTAACTGTTGCTATGGAAACTGGAACTGGCCATGAAGCAGTTCTACAACATGAATTCTCACTTGTCAGTCCTACTTTAAAGTGCCACCTTCTAAGTCCTTTAATAAACCAGTAATAATTGTGTTGCCTAATGAGTTTTCAAATTAAACAAAACAAGAAAGCATGCTTTCACTGAAAGCTGTGCACAATATTTCATAGGTGTGGTCTAAGAATTTTAACAGTGTGCATGATATGACTCTGTTGGTTAAGGATATGATCTTTAAACAGAGAGACAGTTTATTTGCAGTAAAAGCCCTAGTGTGTGTAGTTGGACTTACATAAAGGTGACTTATACCAACATGGGTATGTCTAGACTGCTGTCACAGAAGCACACTGTAGAGATACTGAGTGAATGGGTAAATCAGCCCACAGTGAGCTCTGTGCTCCCACAGCTCCTGGGGCACTGCTGTGCAGGCACATGCATCCTGTATTCCCTGTAGGTGCAAGAGGGAATGCTCTCAACCAGAGTGTTAACCTGGGCTGGGTGGCTACTGTGGAAAAAATAAAGCATGCAAGCTTAAGACACAGCTATTCTGTAGAAATAGTCAGAATCTGTGTAGCTTAAATCTAGGCTCCTCCATTAACTTTAGCTTAACCTTTCACTCTTGTAAAAACTATAGGCTCCCTTGTGTTTATTCATCTTACTTCCCTGAGACAACTCATCTGAGAAAAATCCCTTTTTCCTGTTCTTAGGGGACAAACACCATCAGAACACACCCTCCATCACAAGAGTTGAGAACTCCCAGCAAGGATCAATTTAAAAACTTCCAGGGACAGGTTTTTTCCAGAATAACTTACCCATGTTTCCTGAGATAAGCTCCTTCCACCTCATCTCCAAGGCTTTGCAGTTGTTCACTGCTTTTAAACTGCAACAGGAGCAGGACTGAAGCAGACACAAGTGTCTGCCCTTTCTACCTCCAAGCATAGAAAATCAGCGGACAGGGATTTTAGGCAAACTTCGCACAAAGAAACACATTTAAAACACAGTAAGTGCAGCCTCAGAGTTGGAGGCAACAGAATTTGCACATGAAACTACACAAACTGCAAAGCTGAAGACGTAATCCTATTTTGGTATGAATTTATTTTAAAGAGATCCTAAAGAGCAACATGATCTCCAAACTCTTTTTCTCCTCGAACTCATCCAGCCCACACACTCAGCTGTCATCCTCAGGAGAACGAGGGTCTTTCTTCCAACTTAAGAGAGATCACCTTTCCTATTGAGCTAGCACTGTTTCTTTAACCCTTTCCCAGCAAAATAAGCTTCTGCTAATACAGAACATTTCAAGAAAATGGCCAAGACAGTCTCATAAATTAGATGCCATGCTCTTCCACATGGTCTGAAACACCTCATACTTTCCTTTAAAATATCCTTAAATTCATGCCAAATAAGCAATTTAACCATATGTACTGCTTGATTGTGGGCAATTCCTGAAGTGAATTTGAATTTAGGAGTCAATATTCCAAGCTACTTCTTCCACAGATAGCCTTGTTTTTAAGCATCACTTCAAACTCATCAACAATCAGAGCAGGAATTTAAAAGCAAATCTCCCCAGTGGCCAACCAGATCTTTTCATAGGCATAAATTAAAGTTTCAATTCCCCTCAGTAGCACTTCACTCAGTATCCTCCTTCTTTCCCTGATTTACAGAGATATTCAGGGTGTGGGGAGGGAGTGTGGAATAAACACTCTACAACTCTTCTTTAATCCTCTTCTATTTCCTTCTGCACAAGTACATCCCCCTTCAGCACCCCTTCAGGGCCCATATTAAGATCTGACTAGAAGGTACCTGAGTCAGAGCAGAGCAGCAATGTGAGGAGTAGGGAAATCTGTGAGGAAACCAACTACTGAGTCCTGCAGCAAGTGGGGAACACAGAGCAAATGAATGATTCATGCATAGTTCTCTACTAGGAACAAACTCACCGTCTCTTTAAGGCCAGAGTTTTCCAGGGCCTCTGAATGCAAATGCCAAATATTTTGTCAAGCCTTTCTCTTAGCCTATATCTCACTGCAGCCAGGGCTTGGAGTGAGGCAGATAATATAACAAACCAGAGAGCTGGCACACATGGGGCTACTCACTGGCTTTCCTCATGCATATGGTTTATTTTTCCCTGCTATGTCAATCCTTATATAGGGCTTTACCACTACAGCTGCCTCCTGGGAGTCTGCTGTTTCAACTGTTACAGGGAAGGTGCAGAGGAAAAAAGGATAAATTCAATCTTTTGTACTCTTTTCAAGTTAAAGGTCTCACCTCCACACCATAAATTAAACAGATTAATTAAACAGACAAGCCCCTGCAGCAGCAAGCTCTCTCCAAGCATAAATATTGAACAACTTTGCTTTTTAACTGTTGCACATAATTATTCCAGATCAAACATCTTGCATGGTAACCTTCTTTAGGCTAATGTTGTTTCATCTATGCCTTGTGTTCTTCTGTAAGCACAGAAATGGGCAATATTTTACCCCAAAAGTGACAAAGAATAAAAGACACAAAAAGCAACAGGCAGAGGAGATTACAGTGGGTCTCAATGGTTTCTGTATTTTCTTTTCCAAAGCATCGAATTTATGTTTTACCATTTGTGATCTAAGAAACAACTGAAACAGCAAAATAGTAGCTGATTTTGAAAATTCTGGTCTGAAGAGAAACTGCAACAGCAGACATCAGTAGCACAGATGGGAATGCAGAGGAATGCAGACATGCTTGACAACTAGTGGGCAAGGGATGCAGGACCCCATTCCTGAACATTACAGAGAATGGGGAGGAGTGCTTTAGTAGTGGGAAAGCTGTCCAAATTGAGGAACATATATTCACAGACAAAGATGCACCAGCACTGCCAGGAAGGACAGGCAAATCCTCCTGTTTGTGTGTCCTTTCTCTAGGTGTTACCAAGTTCACATAAAATTAAAGATCTACAGCTATTACCACATGAAACCTAGCAAGATCAATCACTGAGCCAGAAAAACATCTCCTGAGATGACCACTGCTGTAAACAGTGATCTTTAGCAGTGACTTTTCTTTAGGCACACTGGATGCAGATGTGAGGATGATCAATGTCTCATCCTACTCCAAGAGCACAGTTTCTTTTCCAGTTTCCCTGCTAGATTTGAGTTTGACTTTCCCTGCAGAATGAGTTTGATACCACTTTCACTAGGAATAACAAGGAAGTCAGGAAGAATATTAAAACAAGTATTTGAACAATTTCTCTGAAGCGGAACAAAAATAGCATTTGGAGAATCAAAAGGCTCTTTTTTATCTACTATCTAGATAATAACAGATAATTACAGTTTCTCTCAGTCTCTCAACCTCTCTTTCTTATCTTTTCTCTTTAAAATACCATGAAATATCCTTCCATAGTGCTGACAACATCACTGTTACTCTCCAGTAGTTCCAAGACCCGGTGCATCACCACTTCAGGCAGAGAGGGGCTGTAGCTCTGCCGAACACAGCTCAGGACATGAAGGAAATGGCAGCCTTTTTCAGCATCTGCAGAAAAAAGGAAAATGCAGCCAGGCATGGAAGAAATATTTCAGTGTGTCTCTTTTGAACTATCATAATACAGATCAATCAGGAAAAATCCCAGAGCCCTAGATACAGAAACAGATGTGTATTCAGAAGAAAGAGATCCTGTCTGTGCCTACAGTTCTCCAATTATCAACTGTTCCCAGTGACTTTTCTGGGAAGTGTCAGGGCTGTAACAGTAGTAATGAGGGTGAAAGATAACTCAATCTTGACTACTCTTAACATACATGGCTCAGTACAACTCGATGACGAGTTTAATAATGTAAGGGCACCTCCACTGTGCACCCGTGCAGGCCATCCAGTTTTTGCAACTTCAGAAGGAACCAAATGAAAGTCATTTTACCGAGACCCAACTTCACAGCCTTCAAGCACAGCAGGGAGGTGCGTGGCCAAGGCCTGTAACCGCTGGCCCAACGCTGGCATCTTGTGGAAAAATTGCTGCACTGCAACTGCATTCACCTCGCAATGCTATCCCATCTCTACTCTGCAGACCACCCAGACAATTATGGGAGTAGAAAGTTATGGAACTATCAGTATCAGATTTTATCTCCTTTTAAATGGAATTAGCCCTGCAATGTACAAGAGAAGAGAAGTTTAAAATAACCCCCTTTGCTAGGGGCAAGCACAGAGGTCCTTCATGGCTGCACACATCTGTTCTGTGCCAGGTGGGGCATTGTTTGAAGCTGTCCCAGTCATGATTTCCTCCACTAATCATCAGTGCTGCAAGCTCCCAGTCCCCCAGGTGCTGAAGTCCACAACATATTTCTCCACAGCAGCTGACAATGGAAAACAGACATAAATCAGATTTATCAGCACAAATTATTTTCCATCTCCTTTGCTCACATGATGCAAGGCAAGTTTGATAAGGGTACTGAGAAACTGCCATGGGCCAGGAAGGGCCTTATATTTTGTTGTGTTTTGGGTTTTTTAGTTAATTCTCTACTCTAAAATCTGCTGAGGCCCAGAGCTAGATCAGAAAAAGCTGCTGTGAAAAGTCACTGGTAGATAGCAGTAAATAAACAGTTCAGCCTAATTCTGATTAGGCTGTGAATCAGGCAGATATACTTCCTCAGAAGTATCCAGCATGATAAAAAGACCTTTGTGGCCAATAGCCAAAAATGTGTCCATTACCCTGGGAGAGATAACTGCAGAGAACAGAACAATGCCTCTACCTGGTCATAGTGATTGTTGTTGCAAACAAAATGGGCAGCTGCACTTTGCATTTGTCATAGGTTTGTCATAAGAAGGTCAAATTGCCCATCCCTGATCCAGAGGAACTTAAATCTCAATGAATTACATTAATGACTCAAATGTTACCTAACTGTACAATGTGTACTTTACCCCTAGATGCTGGTAGAAAACAGCACTTTGGGGAAGCTGCAGGTGTGTACAATTATTAAGTAACCCAAAAACACTCCTGTCCCTCTTTCACTGAGATCCTGGGCTCTTGCTTTTGTCCAGCAGCTGAGGGAAGCCAGGCTGTGATTGACTGTCCTGCCTGACAACCAACATCAGAGAGGACAGTGTTTTAGAACTGCCATTTGCTCACTGAAGATGTCTCACACAGGGTATATTCTGAAATATTAAATTTAACTTCAAGTGGTTCTGGTTTTTGTCCTCTCTACCATTAGCCTGATTGAAGCCTAAAATTTCTAAAACAGAGAAAGAAACAAACCAAAACCCAAATCCATTTTGCAGTTCAGTCTGGCGTCAAAATGTGCTATCTGCCTATATTAAGTTTCTAGATGGACCCCCAGTGGTGTCTCATGAGTGCATTTAAGATCAGGAATTATAAGTAGAGCCAAGGACTAGGATTGTCAGGTAGGCACATTACAGATCAGGGCTTGTGCAGCTCTGAGTAGGCAGGCAAGATTTTTTTTTTAAATTTGTACAATAGTTTCAGACAGCTGGGTTGGGCCTGGGAATGTGTCACAACTACAGCAACGGGGCAAGGCGTTGCCTGGAAAACTGGCAGAGAAGTAACTCACTGGAGAGAAGAGTTTGATTTGTCATAAATCATCCCTCTTGTCACGGAAGATTACTGTTACTCTTGGAGGAAAACGGGTAGGAATTTCTTGCAACAAACAAGAAAAAGCCCTAGAGGTGAATGGCCATGTCCCTGTTTTCTCTCTCCTGCAGCTCCCGCCGCCAGGGGGGGGCCGGCAGCCACGCTCAGCTCCGCGCTCTTGCATCATCCCCGGACAACAAATACCGCCGTGCCGGCTGGTTTCCATTGGAGCTCCTTGGCTTTGCTTCTACTGCCGAGGACCAGGACATTGAAATGGTCCTTCTGGAAAGCAGCAAAGGGACACTGACCTGGAAACTGTCCTCGTCGCAGCAGGAAACTAAGTAGGGGGAAAGCTTCAAGGAGAACAAGAGGGTTTGTAAAACAGTTGCTAATTTTAAACTGCTTATTATGGAAAACATGGCTTTGAGGACTCAGGACTCTTCAAAGTCTTTTCTGTGACTGATGTACAAATTACTCTCTGCTGTTGACTTTACTGGCCGAAAGAACTTCCCAGCTTCCCATGGATCACAGAGTACTTGACCAGTGTGACAATGCACAAGAAGGGAACAAATAGGGGGCAGTCACTCAGTGCCTCTGTCAACTGTATAGAGGTTCTGGCCTTGACAGTGGCATAGTTATATTAAAAAAAGCAGGTTATCAGGAGAACTAATTGATGTATAAAATGAGCAAAGGAATTATTTGACTCTTAGAGAAATTATGTTTTTTAATTGGATAAAAGACAATAAAACAATGTGATACAGCAATTTGTTGCACTGAAACACCCTCAAGAAAACAAGCCCATATTAACCTGCATGCCCATCAGTAACCTCTTCTCCCAAGACCGTGTCTACCATTGTAACCACTCAGGAGAGACAGTTAAAACTCAAACTTGATTTTGCCTCATTTAGCCTTTTTTTCTCTGCAGAATAACCATCATACTCCAGGTCCTACAAGTGCTATTGTAGTTATGATAGTATAGGGATATGAGCAATTTAAGATTTTATGCCTTATGTTCCAGTCAGTCATTTATTCTGTACTAAAGCACATTCTGTCCCACAAAAAGCTGCACTCCGGCAGCAAGTGATCCCTGCTGACACATTCTATCCCATGAACTGAAAGACACTCTGTAGTAAAGTACCTGTGTAATTAGAACACATTCAAGTCAAGCACAAGTAATCACTCTGACAATAAAACACAATAGTTTGAGGGACAGGGATAACTCAGAAGCCACCTGAGGCACATTATCTGAAAAGAAATAGACTTTGTTCGACTGAAATCCTTAACTACAAAAAAATACCATCTGAGCTCTACCCAAGCTTAAAATCTCCAGAGAATATCCTACTGACTTAAGCAAGTTGTATTGTTGACTTAAAGGAGGCGGGGATTTCACCTTTCTGCATGGTCACTTTTGTGTCAACTCCCCTGCAGAAACTGAACCAGCAAGATTTGCTACTTCTCCAGAGTGCAGAGCAACACCTGCTAGGTGGTGACCTGACTGTATTACATTTGATTCCTCCCAAAATCCAAGTATTCTCAAAAGATACAGATCTAAGATAATGGCTGCTTACTTCAGATGGGAGAAGTTTGCTTCCTGCTGGGCACACCTGCTCTTTCTCTCTCCATGCTCACAGGAAGCTGCTCCTGCACTCCTGCTTTTAGTTGTACTGATTAGCTACACCAGCAACAACTTAAGCTCGAGGGTGAGGACAGGCAGCAGGAGGAGATATTGTCATCAGTATATCAGCACCAGCTCATCAGAGCTTGATCACCCTGCTACTTACGCCTGGGTTTTCGACAGTCTTCTTTAATCACATCAAGGGTCACTTTAAACAGCTCCTTATCATGGTCAGTCACCTGGAGAAAAAAGAAGAAACTGGCCTTGATGTTGAAAAACAATCCACTGACATGGTGTATTCTAAGCTAACACTGTCACAATTACACTCTGCACTTCATGCTGCCTCCAAGACTAATAATGGACATCAAATCTTCAGGCAATAGTTTTACTACTATTAGCAGCATCCATGAGTTAGGTGAAGAGCAGGATACAACTAAGTTTGACCCAAAGGAGGGTGATTGCCTCAGCAGAACAGCAAGCTTGAACCCACTTGGAGAACTGTCCCAGGCCCCAGGTTTCCGTGAGCTCAGCTGGATCAGAGCAGTTTGGCAGCCCAGTGAACACAGGCAGAACTTGGAACAACTCAGTGGGTGATACAGAGGTACAACCAACAGTGAAGTAAGCTGCAGAAAATACTTCTGAGTAAACTGAGAGCACCTGGATGTCCTGCTGCTCTTTCTGAAACATTTCTACTATTTCTGCAGTATTTTTTATTGTTTTTACTGATTAGGAAAGTCATACCACTGAACTTGCTTGCAACCACAGCTCAGTTCCTTACATAGTATAAGTCCTTGGAGCTGCTAGGTTTCTGGAAAACCACTCCTTTTTCTTGTAGCATCTTTATTGCTTCCTTAAAAACACCATGAATCCTTTTGGAACTGGAGCTACTTTCTGACTTCACCTGGAAGAAAAGAAAGGAATGAAGCAGATGGTGAGAAATCTAAGCTCAACCAAAGTTACCAGCAAAAGCTCCAGATGCTTTCAAGAAAAAGATGACTTCAGATCCTCTTTAACATAAATTTTACACATTTTTTACACATTTTTCTTCATTTAGTAATTCACAAATCATATCTGTTATGTATGAAATAATCAACAATGCTGAGCTTTAAACAAAACCCAAACACCAGAAGCTTGTATCAATCCTGAGGAACCACAATCTCTAAACTGCCTTCTTTGTGATTAGCAGCTATTTGGTGATGTACCAAGAAATCTTTTTTTGGAATGTTCTTGTGATGCTTGCAGATTGACTTTTTTGTTAATCAAGCTTTGTTCATTTTCAGAGTTTTCCTGGTAATAAGGGTGAAGGTAGGGGTAGGAAGGTAGGAAAATCAGTATTTTGTAAGGATATTCAGGAGGAATCCAAGGGCTGAGGACTGGATTCCCATCTCCTGATTTCAGGGAAAGGAGAAAACTGACAAAACCAGTATTTGTTTCTCGCCCCCTTTGTTTCCAAATTTTTACAAACATTCTGGTCATGCTCTCAGGAGCTTCTCCACAGCCTAATGTAGTGAAAGGATAAAGAGCTTGCAAGAAATTAAGGCAAACATACGAAATAAGGAAACAAAGGATTCAGTTTTAGGGGTAGGTGGGAAATTAGTTTTTTGTGAAAGGAGAACAATGCATCTGGAAGTCCTAACTAAGGTTATTTAGAACACAGGGTTCTGGGTTTGGGACACATCTAACAGAGAAGGATGGAAGGGGAGGGGAAAAAAAACAGGGAAAAGCAGTATTTGTTTGGAAGTAGAGCAGAGCTAAGAGAGTGGAATGACAGCTAGGGAAGTAGAAGGAAATAATTACTTGTGGAGAAGGGAAAGTATGTGTAGATAAGAGCAAGACTATGATTTACTCTTCTCCATCTCCATCTGTCCTACTGTGTCCTTCAACCTCCCATTTATCCACACAGACTGCTTCAGTTCCCCAATTGCTGTTTTCTCATCTGTTGGGAGCACACTGTGCTCCCTGTGGTTTTCTTTGAGAAGGGAGCTAAACTGCTTCCCACAAACCACCATGTGATAACTAGAACCACACCAGAGCAACCAGAGCAAGATCTGCCAAGCCATTCCTTCAACTATCACCAGAAATGCTCCCACCCTGTTCTGAACAGAAATATCAGACTTGACATGTCCTACTTCACTCACCAGGAGCAGCTCAGAGCCTGGGGAGTCAAGCAGGCAATCACCATGAACTAGAAGGAAAGTACAGGAATATGTGAAATGGACACCACAGGAGCAAAGGAAGAATCTCTCCTCACAAAACACTCATTCAATGCATTTGCAGCTCTCAAGGGACACTGCAACAGCCTGGAAGCTGATGTACCTAATTGGGAATAGTTCTGGAATCCAAAAGGGATATTGGTGTTAGCATGCATCACAAGTTTCTCCCTCCTGTTCCTCCAGATGACCCTCAGCATTTCAACAGGCCATAATCACATCTCTCTCTCTGTCCCACAACAGCTAATTCTCTTTTTCCTCTCAAATCACCAGCAAAAATAGTTGCTGAATACTTCAAGATAATTATAACAGAACAATGGCTCTTAGTTCAGTTTCCTCTGTTTCAGGCTGAAGGATTCAGTGCCTGAACCTTGTCTGTCCTCCTGTCCACCATAGCACCAATCTGGATAACAACAGACTCTACTTCTAATTACAGACTTGGCCATGCATCTGGACACTGTTCCAGTCACTGCATTAATACCACAAAGGTATTTCTCTTCATTGTGCCTCTTCTGATGAACTGAAGAAACAAACATAAAATGCGTCAGGAAGGATTAAGTGAAGAGTGAATATTTGCTCACAGAAAAGCACATTCTCACAGCCATATGTAAAAAGAAGAGACTTTGCCTCTCACTCAAATGCAGTAATAAATCCTCAAGAATGTAAGAAATTGCTAGCAAAGCAACCAACTCAAGACTCTGATCAATTTTTAATGTGAAAGCAAACATTTGGGGAGAAAAAAAAGATAAAAATATTTCCAAAGAAGCACAATAATTATTCAGTTTGGCTTACCACTGAAATCCTGTCAGAAAAGGGAGATAATTAAAAACAGACTCTGTATGAACTGACACACAGCTCAGCCTGGATGGATACTGAAACAGAATCACTAAGAATGCAAGTCAAGGCATTGACAGAGTGAAAGCAGCGAGGCCTTATTATAAGTAAGCAGCGGCTCCATATCAGCACTCTCTCATATGTGCTGCAGAATCCATGGAAAAGGGCTTCATGGCAGAAGGACTGTTTCTGAAAACCAAAATAGGGCTCCTGCCCACTTTAATAGTACCATGTTATATATTAATACAAAAATATTATGTATTATTGGTGTTTAGTAGTACCATAAAATGACAGGAAAATTTTGAGGTTTTTTCTTTGTGTGCTCTAGAACATGCTTCCTCTTCTCCATTCCTCTGGGTAAGGCAGCAATTCAGTTTCTTTGTCAACACAGACTGAAATTGCTTATTCTGCTCTTTTGACCCACCCAAAGCAACTCCAGCATCTCATCCTGCAAATGACCAAGTCAATAGTTCTTCTCCCCAATACCTCTCCCAGTGTTCACACCTCCTTTTGCAAAGTGCCCCCCTTGGGCATGCCTTAGTTTCAGGGTGCACCATTTCAGGTTCTCTCAAGCAGTAACAGCAGAGTCTTTCCCCTCTCTTCCAAATCAGGTCCTTTTCAAATAAATGAAGCTGTACATCCAAAACAGAGGAGCATTCAAGGATCAGTCATCCCTTTTGTAAAACACGTTGTGTGTGTGTGTATGTGTGTAACCTGACACAGAAGCAGCTATTAAATAATAATTTTACTATCATTACCCTCACTCCCAAGAATGGCCAAGGGCTCTGTAGCAAAACCAACAGAAGAATCTATGTATCCAGAATTAAATTGGTACTTTAATCAATATATTCCATCTGATAGGGCTCACACAGCTTAGTGGGCTGGTGCTGTGCAACCAGTTATTCTCAGATCTTTAAAACAAGACAAATTCCCTCTACAATCAATAATAGGTCAAACAAATGAAGTGGCAAAGGAATTAGTGAGTCTGTTTAAAACACTGGAACTATGCAACCTTTGACTCATTATGAATCACACCCTGATGGTGTTAAAGTTTCCTGGTATAACCACACATGTGATTTTACTCAGGGAATCACCTTTTGCATTTCCTCATGTAATGTTTAATCCTGGGCTTAGGCAGGTGACAATTTTAATAATAGTGATCCTGGACGTGTCAGTCCTGAAGTCCTATAATAAGCTTTGCAGCTTATTATAGCAAAGAATATTTAAAATAATATTTTTATATGTTTAAATAATATTTAAAAATATTTAAATAATATTTAAAGCAGTGGTGAAACTTCCTTGAGAGGCAGAAAGACAAAGACCCTGCATCAAGAACTTTCAGTGAACTGTTACACCTACAGTACAATGAACAGGGTGGGCACAGACAGAGTGAACAACACAGCAAAACTTCCCGCTTTAACTACTTCTCATTGGTGACCTTGAGATAACATTAAAATCAAGAGGAGCACAAACAGCACACTCTGGAAAGCACAACTGAAGCCATGTGTCCAGGGCAGTGACATTGACAAACTGGAATGGCAGCACTAAAATAGCACACACTGTAGCTTATGCATGGCAGAAGGGCAGAAATATTGTTAATCAAGACTGGCTGGTTTAAAGCATTTCAGTTGAGAAATTGGATGGATCCACTTAACATGCAGCTTTCTTTAAAAATGGGACCAAAGGCTTGTCCATTTGCCAAACATAATTGCCTAAGTCCAGTAAGTACACTCTGGAGCTTCTCTAAGCACAAAATTACTTTTTCTTCTTCTACTTGTAGTCTTCCTTCTGGTACCCACCCCTCCAGACTCAAAAGTCACTTGTTTTAAGGGACAGGGAAAAGACTACACCTTTGGGATAGATGGGGAACTGGTTATGCAAATTAAAGCTCCAATGGCTTTAAAACTCATAAAAGATTTGTTAATTTTTAACTACTTTTAAAAACAGTTAAATTCTCTTCCTCATCATTTGTAGACTATAAAATTAAATTTTCCCTAGTATATGTCTGAGAAGAGGAAATTATTTCAGTTCTGCCAGATGCATCTGCTAGAGGGAAGTTTATTCCAGACAGGCAGAAGACTGCACTGCCAGGGAGGCATCAGGACTGGAATGAGGTATTTATTGTAGGACCTGTATGGGATGTGGACAGGGCTCAGCTACACAGTAATGCTGAAAAGGAACACAGAGATGCTGCCTACCTCAAACCATCCCAGCTAACTCCTTCCACCTTCACCCTCTGCTCCACTCCACTGCAGTGACTCCACAGCAGCTCATCACCTCCCTGGGGAAAATATTCCATGGGGAGATACCCTCCCACTATGATGAACATTGTGTAAGTACTTTACAAGTTGGGAAAGAGATGAAGGGGGAAAGGAAGAGAAAGGAAACAAATAGTTTAACAGCAACTTGTGCTCTAGAACACTGGAATCAGGATAAAAAAATTAACCTATACATCCAAATAACTCATCCTTTTACAAGCAAGAAAAGTGCAAGAAGTGAACAAGTGTGCATATTGAGGCATGGCCTAATTAGCTGAGTTGGCTCTGTAGCTCCTGCCTTGCCAAATAGGCCCAAAATAACATTGTTCCACATCAGCAGCACCTTTTATCCTCTTGGTTTGAGAGCAGCACAAAACAAAAGACTACTGAAGAGAAAAGAAAGGAAGAGGGACAGAAATCAGATCTATTACACTTCCTTTTGTGGATAGAACTGGGTACTTGACCCTTTGCCAATTATGAAAGGTGACACCTTCTAGAGATGCAGTAGAGGAACAAGGAACTACATTTCCAGAGCATTACTAGGCACTCCTCCTAAGGCATTCATGCCACTTAACAACTGAAGGTCTTTTCTTATGCAAGAACAGATAACCTTCTTCACTAGAAATTAGTAGTAAAGGACAATAAGTAGAACTGCAATTTCTAAATAAGCAGCTGTGCACCCACATTCCTGGGATATATACTCACGTCCTTGTATCAGGGTCAGGAGCAACTAACAATTATTATGACAGCTCTTCATGACTGCTAATAACACTGATGCTACAGTATTTTTCTTGATTTGGGGTTTTTGAGTTGTTTTTCTTTTGGTTGGTTGGTGTTTTGTTTGGGTTGGGTTTTCTTGGGGGACTTTTTCAGTCCTTCTATGTTTGTTCTGCACCAGTTCCTACTTTAAATGGCTTTGTAAATTATTTATCTTGGTCTTTCTTTCTATAAATGCTGAAGCGTTTAAGTTTCCAGTATTGGACACAATGGCCAGTACTTTAATGTAAAGTGTTTGGGAACTTTTAATACTGCTCCAGCTAGTTTAGAATGTACCAGGTGCCATGTTGGGTAATCTACTAGCAAACGTTTCTGTCTAAAATGAGAATAGCTCCTGTTAGTGCCAATATCCATGTTTGTTTTACAGCAAACCAGGAAAAAATACTTTAATGAAAACAAACAAACAAACAACCCCAACTCAGCTATCAAGAAGAGCTATCAGCAGCAGTTCAACAAGGCCAACAAGAAAAAAGCTACTTTTCATTATTATTTGACCTCTTCTGCAAGAGTTTGGGTTTTGTGTTATTTTTTGGGTTTTTTAAGAATGAAACAAGCATTAGAATTCAACATACCATAGCACTTAACATTACAGCGCACTTAAAAATCAGGGTGAAAATGTCTGCCAGGGATTTCTCTACAGAAAACCAAAAAGTAAACAAATGAATCACAACACTCCAGCTTAAGTTCCAATTGCCATTGCTTTCATGATAAAAAAAGTAACTGTAAGCTTTGCAGAAAATTATCACTTCATACAAGTTGAAAATCTGGTTTGTAATTTATCCAACTAATACAGAATAATATAAAGCCATTTTACAAAATGGGTGTTGTTCTGTTTCCCATTCTGCAGCTGATCAAGAGGTTACTAACACACTGGAAAATTTCTTAATAGTTTGGTTACACATAACTGCCTGTAAACTGATTTCAATTTAATGCCACCTTCTCATCCTTTCGCAGTTAGGGACTTCCAATGAGAGAAATGTAGCAGGGAGCACTGTTCATCCACTCATCATAACCTCCTCTTGTGACCTGCATCTCTATTAATATATTGAGCTTCAAATGAGAAACAAGACAAAGATTTTGTGCTCCCTTCTCCTGATTAGATCCAGGATCTCAAGCCTCTGTCCCAAAAAACTCAAGCACCTTAAAGGGTTCTCTTTTACTGACACAGCTACTAATTACAAATCTAGATACAGTAGTGACTGTTGCAGGCTGTAAGATTGCTCAGCCCTAACACAAGATTACCCCTAATAACAGAATGTTCTTACATTACTTTTTCCAGCCCAGTTTTGTATGTCTAAAGGAACAAGATTTCTTCAAGCTCTGTAAATAATTAATGTGCAAAGCTCAAGCACTAGTTGGTTTTAGAATCCTCTGAAGACACCAGTCTCTTATCTGTTTATGCTTTAAAAGAGTACATGGTATTATCTCCCCCCACTAAAAGCCTGGAACAGGTGCATTCACTCACCTCCTCACAGCTGGGGCTGGGTAGATGCACACCCATCAGAGACACCAGAGAATCAACTGTCTCCAACTCCTGCTGGTAAAAGGTCTGAATTTTGTTTTCTAATAGAAAGCCTTGCACTTTCTCATGCAGCATGTGGATTGAGAAATTCTGACCCTCCGGGCCACTACAAGGATACACAGAACATGTCAAAAGGTAAGAAATGTGTTTTAGAACAATTATATAAAGTAATTGTAGAAAAAAACAAAAACAGTCCACTGGACTGGTTTCAAAGGTCAAAAGATGTTTTACTGCTCTTAAAGATTTTGAATTTAAATCCTTAATTAAAACAGATCATGTTTATAAGTATAAACGTTCAACTGTTCTTCTTCAATCATTTGCTGTTAGGGTTTTGTGAATTTAAGATCTGCAGTCTCTGAAACAACACTGCATGCACCAGGCCTCCCAATAAGCATCCAGCTACCCTGAAACTGAGTACAGGAGTGGGTGTTTGACTCAGCTTATTGAGGTTATGGATTTGTGATTTGACAATGACAAGGGCAGGAGAGCACTTCAGTGGAACAGCTCCTTAACCTTACACATAAAACAACATCAGTCAGTCAAGGATACATCTCCATCCTCTGCTGACCTCAGCCCCAAATCTTGCTCTAAATCCCATTTTTTTTCACTAGATGAAAGAGGTCTGTACACATTATTTTACTTCCTTCCTAATATTCACTTTAGTTCAGCATTATATTTCTTTCCTCAGATTATGGACAGGTATCTCATCTGTATGTATCACCAATTATTTGGGAGAAAAGCAGACTGCTACTGTAATGAATGCAGTCTGAATCACAGTCAGGCCCTGCTCTATTTTTTTCCAGAGTTATTACAACAAGTAAACAATCATAATATCTCATACTTTGCCCCAGGAGCAGTTCAGCATACTGCATTTACCTCTGTATTTCCTCAGGGCTCTTGAAAGGTTTATCATAAACTTCTCTATAGAGACAGGGGAGCTCCAGCATTCTCGAAATCTGGACATCACACACAGGATCATCCACTTTATCTGGAAATGCAATGAGAACTTGTAGACCTGGAGAGGACTCCCACACAATTTTTTAAGCAAGCAAACCTAAGGCAGCACAACAGAGCTTCACAGCCAGTATTAAATTGGCAAAATTTGTTCACTGTGGTTTTCATAAAAACAAACCACAAAGGCCAATCCTTCTTTTACAGTTTACAAGGAGGAAAAATGGCCTGTTGTGGTGCATTACAGATTATGATTTTGTCTGACAACTTATTTAACCAGAATTTATGATCTCTATTTTACCTTTCAGCAGCCTTTATCCATTAAATGAAGTTAACACGTAGTAAGGAGCTTTATTTGGGCCAAAGGGAAAGCAATTTAGAGGCTATTTGAATTGCATGGCTCTCTTTGGTATTATTACCAACCCATGAATGGGTTGTACATACTCATAAATCTTCTGTCTGGAAAGGGAGGCTGAACTCCCTTGCAAACTTAAGCTAGAGCTGAAAAATCTAGATTTTTTTTATCTGACTTATACAGGGTTTTTAAAAGACAGGATTTTCTTCACTAAAGAAATCATTTCAGTATTATCTATGTAAGATCTCACTGGGGAAAACCAGCTCTTACACAACAGCACAGACATGGAACTGAGAAGAAGTTATGTAACTGGAAGCTCCCAGAGCTGTGGGCTGCAGAGCCCTGCTGCTCCAGGAGCTGTCAGACACAGAGGCAGCACCTGCATGCAGATCTGTGCCTGAGGAACACTTCTCCCTCATCCTGCACAGCCAGGGAGCTGAGGAGAAGCCAGGCTTCAGTGGGACCCTGCCCATATGCTGCTGCCTGCCCAGGGAATGGATTGGCTGTGATGAACAGCAGCCACTTCTCCAAAGCCCTCAGCACCCTTGGTGAAGTGGGACACAGAAGGTCAGCAGCTCCCTTCCCACAGGCTTTGGCTGCTCTACTTCAACACAGAGAAATCTGAAGAGCAAATCACTCTTGCAGACACCCAACCACAGTGTCTGTGTGGTATTCTTGTATGCATGCAAATCAGCTTTTACAGTTTTTCCAGGAATGCCTCGTTTACAGGCAGTCTAACCTCACACATTACATAGAGTGTCTTCTGACCTTATGCTGCTACAACTGAAATAAAGATATACAGATGAGAACCCTCAGAAAAATGACATGCCAGAAAATAATGTGGAAAATATTCAATTAATTACATAAAGCTCAGATATTTTCACAGATTCAGACATCTTAGTCACATATATCACAGATTCATAACACTCACAAAAACATGAAGCCTGAATTTCTCTTTGTTGCCTATAGGTTCGGATGTGACCTCTGACCCTGACAACATCTCCAATCTCCAGCTTGGTTTTCTGGCTTACTGTTTCTTGGAGCTTCTTCAGCTGTTCAAACACACTCAGACTGCTGGGTGTGCTTGGATGACCTGCAAGAAGTGAGGGAAAGGGAGTCAGGCACTAAAGTCAATGCATTAATTGTCCTTTTGCATTCATCCACCTAAGCACCACAGGAGTCATATCACTAAAAAAGGGTAAGGTCCCAGGCACCATGTGTCCTGGGTAGGAAAACTTCTGGGTGACAAAATTAGTTTACTGTATTATACTTATTTGAATTGTTCATCTGGGGAAAATATAAAGGGAGAAGACACTGATTTACCTCTGAAAATGTCATAGATGGGTTGCAAAATTGAAACATAAATTTGAAATTGTTTTGGCATTTTTTAATTTTATCATGCTAAGATGGATGAAAGGGGAAAAGAAAAGTTAGCTGAACTTTTCATGCAAAAGAAGAATGAGTCATCTGAGGTGGGGCCAAAGCATTCATGTGATGCAATTTGATGTCTACACTGGGGCGAATCCAGCTGAGGTGAATTCAACTTGACAGAACCTCACATTTACATAACACTGCTTTGTAGGACAGTAAATCCTTCATAACTTAAAACCTGATTATTGCTCCAAGTATCCCTGATCATAATTACAAAGGGCTGGAAGAAAGTTTCTTGTGCCCCCTAAGAGCTCTCTTTAGCAGGTACAAATAAATGAATTTACATTCTTAGCATAGTGTCCATCCAAGCACTATTGATGTATGTGTAAAATAAGAATACAAGGCTGAAAAGCATTCTTGATCCTCATTCTATTTCAAGCAGCATTTCATGCAATTCCTTTTAATGCATCTGAGTTCCTCATTTAAGTTCCTCAAAACTGATTTGATTGCATGTCTCCTTTTTCTTTTTTTTTTTTGAGAGCTGTGCCAGATCATCACCTCTCCGAAGTGAGAGCTGTCTTCTACATTCCAGTTGGGACCATTTGTACCACCTGTCACAGGATTGTTAAATATAAGTATGAATTATCTGTCTATATAAATGGGCTTGTTCCATAGACATCAGAGCTTTTAACTTTTACATTAAGCTTTCCTTTCTCCATTCTATTAATATGCATTCCTAACACTGCAGATGACACCACTAAGATTTATTTCAGTAGGATTTGATCAGCTTCATATTAGGGTTGTCAATCCACTACATGGGCTTCCAAGAAGAGCCAAAGTAGAAAGAATTCTGTACTTTGATCTACAAGAAACAGTGGGAGAAAAAGCAAAGAGACAGCTAGACACTAGTGAGTTGTTCTGTTACAATAATACATTAATTTCAAATGCACAATTACTGCACATTTAGGTCTTGCCCAAATTATAAAAGACTGCTGGCATCCTCCCACTGTGTTTGAAGCTACTTTCAAGTTCATTGCTGACAGTGTCTGTATGAACAAGAGTATATGAATGCAAACAAAGCAAGGATAAATCCTGAAACCAAAATCACCAGGGAAGGTCAATGGACTGACTTTGGAAACAGAAGCTGTGGCACATTTCCAGCCTAGTTCCTTACTAGATGAAGGTACAGAAAGAACCTTAACAGGCAAATTCTCTGAACAATGTCACAGCAGAGAAATGAAATATCATATTACTCAAATAAGGAAAAAGCAGGGACAGGACATAATGTAATGGTTTTATTGGCATCATCCTTGAACAAAACACAAAAAACTAATATAAAATTCCCAAAATGGCCCAGGTAGTATTTGCTCTTCTGTAAGTTTGATCACTTATTAAATTGTTTAAGACAGACATAAGTAAAAAAAAAAAAAAACAGTCAAAAGAGGACTTATTTCTTTGATAAATTACCTGATAAAGGTGTTTCTGCTACCATGGGATTTTTCCAGCAGACACAATTTATAACTCCAGTACTATCATCCACTGCAAAAAAAAAACTGCAAGCATTACAGACTAGGAAAGCAAGCAGTCACGTTCCAAGAAGTGAAGATACATAAATATGGAGGGAGATAACTGCCAAGGACATCTCATTCCAACTGGTTTGGAAGGTAAAGTCCAAACTCTACTTGCATATCTGAAATAATTTCCACAGTTGTTTCAGACATGGAAGTAGCTCAGCACCAGATGTGCTTATGTGCATAGTCAGCAAAGTAACAGGTACATTCTCAAAGAAAGATCATACAGTAATTTAAATTATGAGGCTTCAGTACATATATTGGATACTAAGGGGTTTTAATCTTGTTGACAAGGTCAGGAGAAGAATTAGTTTTGAAGGCTGAAGTCAGACAAATTAAAACAGGAAACCAGGCACAAACTACAGAAGCATTACTGTTACAGTGATGAAACAGCACTTCAACATTTGGGGACACAACCATGTGAATAAACCAGGAGTGCAGCTACCTGCAGCTGCATTGGTTTCCAAGCCAATATTATGCTCAAAGTCTGCTGGTCTTTCCTATTCAAGATGATGTCCAGGGAGCAGAAAGGCAGCTCCCCTAGGCAGGAAGGATAGAAGACATGCATGCTTGTGGTTCTGCTCTAAGCCAGGAATTCCCAATTCAGAGTGCAGGTGCTGGTGGCATGCATGCCACTTCCTCTGCTGAAAAGGCTCAACACCTTCTCCTGAGCATGGAGCTGCTCTTCCTGTTCTGCCAGTGACCAATGAAAATCAGTTTGACGATTTCTGCTCCAGGCACTGCGTTGTCAATGACAGCAGGAAAAGACAAAACTCAAAGGAAACTAAAATCTGTCTGAAGAATCAATTGTCCATTGATCAAGGGACTGTATATAGATGGCTTGTACAACAAACACTCTAAATACAAAGACACTAAATGTCTGTCAAGGATCATCCAGCCAATGCACCTTGCTTCTTGAATGTAACATCTCCAAGACTGAGATTCCACTCCTCACAAATGGACACCTGCAATTTTCTTCTGCTCCTTAAAGCAGGTCCATGACTAAAAAAGTAACAGCAATGTTTACTATGAAGGTGCTGATTGATACCTGCAGTCATTTCCTCTGGGAACCATAGCATCAAAGCAAAATGCTTTTGCATTGTCTCATGTGTTTTAAAACAATCTCCCTGTTCAGGGGGGGTCTAATTTCAAATTATTGTTTTGCCTTCCAGTTTCCAAGCAGTTTAGCTGCACATTCCTATTAGCAAACTTACAGCACTTATAAGATGCAGGCAATTCCAAATTCCATCACAAAAGTATGCTCCTCTCTGCTTTGAGCTGCTGTGTCTGCAACTATTTCAGCAGCTTTAATTTTGTACCAGAGCACAGATAACGATCTGCTGGTAGGATTTCCTCTCCTTGGTACAGACAGACAGCAACTATTTTAGTAGGAGGCAGAACCCTCATAAGCCATGCCCAGGCCATGTGTGCAAGCCAGCAATGGCAACAAGAAGCAGGGCAGATAACATTTCACTCCTGCATTCCCACAGTTTGTAGATGTTCCAGCTTGCACCAACCAAGACAGACAGGCTTCCTAAGAAGGGCCTGGAAACAAACCAAGACTGAAGGATTAGGAGGCCAGACTGCTTCTCCTCAATGTAACAGCTGAAAACAGAGTTCTCGAGAGACTGACCTGTACTTGACCACAGAAAGAATCTGGTAGCAGAGTAAGGTTCTGAAACAAAGTTTTGGAATTTCATAGATGAAAGCTTTGAGCAAAAAGACAAGTAACTCTTGCAATTGTATTCTAATTGGACAATCTATTTTAAATGCACAAGGGGTCTACAAACTCTTGAAAACTTCCTGTGCTCCCTGTGCCGCCCTTCCTCATCTCTTTGGGTTTAAACTTTTGTTTATTTGGGTTTTTTGTGGGTGTACTTTTTGTGTGTTGGGGTTTTTTTCTTGGTTTTTGTTTGTTTGGCTTTGGTTTCTTTGATTCTTGCTTAATTATTTGAGGGGTAGTTTAAAGCTACCTGCTAAATGAGATAATTGTGTAAATTTTTATTTCTTTATGACAAAAAGGGTATGGCTCTTGTCAGGCCTGCATGGACCTTTTGAGATGCTGGTGATTTTTTTTTCTTTTAAGTCGATTGCCTTTTAGCTTTTAAAGTTAGTTTTGGAATACAAAGAAAACCACATGTGATGTTTTTTTTTGTTAAAAAGTAAAGGAGATAAAACGGGCCAGAAAGGTGCACTAGGTAAAATATGAGCTTGATCAAAGCAATGTTTTAATTAGATATCATTCTTCTAACTTATCATAATAATAGCAAGAAACAATCAAATCAAAGTGTCAAAATAAGATATTACATAGCATGTAATTTTAATTTTTAAGCCAGGAAAGAGTAAACTAACTCTTTTTTACAATTATAATTTTGTCATCAGTTCTGGCTCTAGAGTTTTCAGCAGAGGACCTAAAATTCTTCAAAGTGAGTGATGTGTATTCTGAAACAGACAAATAGGAAGTGAGGGGGGAGGATCAAGGCAGGGACACAAAGACATTTCAGTTCCCTATCAGAGGGAAAGTACAAAGGGGGAATTGCTTTGTAAGTCACTTTTAAGCAGATGGAAAGTGAGCAAGTCCTGAGCAGTGTGTGGCACTCCAACTGATGCAACCCCTGTGACTCACCAGAGTCTGTTGAACCGAGAGATGCAAGAAGTTACAAGCAGGAAACTGTCTAAGAAGTTACAGTTTTGTGCTGCCAGAGTCGGCTTGCCTGAAAGGGAGGGCAGGCTGGGGAGGGGCACTCTGGCAGGTAGCCTGAAAACTCAAACCAGGAACTGCTGGAACAAAGAGTGGAGTTGGATGTGAAAGACAGCAGGAAGCCAGGCTTACTGTGAGCTGCACTTGAAGGTTGGCTGATCTAAGGCCTTAATTCCACTAGTCTGCAGTTTCTTTTTATTTCTATTCCTCTACTTTCTGCTCCAGTCAAACATTTTCCACAGGTGTAGTTGTTAAACTGATGCTGAGAGCAGCATGGAAAACCCTTACCCATAGAATTGGTTTTGTCTTGGTCATTTTGATTCTGTCTTCCTCTGTTCTCATGAAGAGGTAAATGCATTTGCAGTCAATGCTACCCTGCAGCAGTTTGATGCTGGGGTATCTGGGAGCTGGTTAATTCATCAGCTGTATCTGCACAGCACTCCCAAGGGTCAGGGAACTGCAGTCTTACAAGCAAAGGAGCTGGGAAGGAGAGGCACTCTGTGACTCACCTCCACCAGGTGAAAACCCATGGCAGAGGAAGACACTGGCCATAAGGGCTTCAATAGGATCTCTGCATTTGGCTCCCCCTTCCTACTGTGAGGTGACCTCCCCCCACCTTTTGAAACTTGCCACATCACCACTGCTGTACTCTGCTTTTTCTCCAGATGTAAAAGACAGCTGAACAAAATGACAATCAGATGTTTCCATGTTAATAAAACTGAATACTGGGAAAAGCAATACAGAGGAGACACCTCCCAGCTGGTGTTGGCAAGAACTGGTGCTATGATGCTTCAGTTTGTTTGTTAAGACTCTTGTGCATCTAAACATAAACAAGCTCCTGACAGCTTTTAGAAGTTGGCTCCAAGATATGACAAGACATACAAAAAGTCAGAAAGGATTTCTAAGGTTCAAATATGAAAGAAGTGATTTCCCATTTGTGGGCACTGTTCAATACATTTGCATCTAACCAAAGCTACTGCAAATAGGAGAGGAAGGTAGCAGAGTCCAGTGACAAAGCAATACCCAAAGTTAAGATCTGCTACATGACCTCACATGAATCAATCACTCTGTGTTAACAATTTAATTCTCTATTTTTGAAGTGGAGATAAACAGTAGCTTCCCTACATGTGCCAGGTAATCTCAGCTGTAGATATATAATATAATAGGATTAGAACACATTTGTTTCAAGAATACACAAGGACCACATAGGAAGACCTTTCAGTTCTAACAGTAACTAAGATAAATAGTAAAGGCTGATAAGTGCAAGAAGAAAGAGAGACATTTTCCTTACCTCCATAATTATAAAAGGCATCTCGCTCCTTCTTTTGAACCACTGTCCCAACAACATCCACCTGTCTTATAGGATGTCCATTATAAAAGAATATACCTAGACACAAAACATGCTTGATTAGTGTAACGATTTCTTTTAACACCCTACTCTACATAGTCACATTTGTCAATTAAAAAAACCATACTTTCTTACATATTTTATTAAATCTTAAATTATACAGCACCTACACAGGAAAAATCCCCTGTATCACTGAAGACTAGGGACACTAAAAGGAGAAAGTATCAGCTGTACTTAGGATACCAAAAGCTTGCTTTTGCAGAGTGTCAGAATCTTATTAACCTCTTGTTTTCCTGCACATTTAAATCTGAAAAACAGTTTGCTTGCTGCAAGCTTTAGGGGGTTTTTCTTTGTTTGTTGCTTGATTTGGGTTTTTGTTTTCCTTTGCTTTGTTGTTTGGATTGGGTTTTTTTTATATCTTCATAAGGCTTCAGAATAAATAATAGAACACAAAGGAAGCAGTTTGAGCTTCTCACAATGCAGCTGTTCCTGATTAAGGCAGAGCCTCCGAAAGGAAAACTAACATAATTCTGTCTTTCATTTCTAGAGGAACAGGAGCTGTGGGGGCAGGGGGAGAGCAACAGCCCTCTCAGACTGCAGAGTACACTATTGCAGTCATTGTGGACTGCATCCTGAACTTCAGTTTCTGAAAACACATGTTCTAAAAACATCCCTTCAAAGCTATTTTTGTGCATCTATAAAGATAACTTAACACTTAGAAACTTGCCTAGGAAAGAGTGAGAAATCAGAGCCCAGTGGACTCTGAGAGCACTGAGGTTGCCTTGCTCTGTAATCCCTTTCAAGAGAGTGACAAATGTTGTTAACAAACACTAATGTAAACATCATACACTGAGGCTTCACAGTCCAACAGCAGGAGGAAAATAGGGCAATAAGCTCCAAATATACCCTGGGCTGGCTAGTTTTCAGTGACTGTGTTTTCTTCAGTTTTCAAATACTGCTGCTTTACTGAAATAAGCCATCTGGGATGTTCAATAACTGTCTTCTGAAAAGTAGATAACTCAAGGGACTCAGAAGGGAACATTTGGCTCCGTACACCGTGGCAAGTGTTATTCTTACAAAGGGAAACACAGCAGCAAGGGAGTCAGAAAAATGTTCTGTACAAAAAAACCCCTAAATCCAAAATCCAAAAATAACTTGTCCTACATAGCCAGCAGCCTTAAATGAGCCTGGAATTAACTTTCTTCACACAATACACAGAGAAAACACAAAGGTTTCAGAAGAAATCAGAGGTGATCAGCCAAGCAGCTCATAAGCAGAAATTCTGCTCATAAAAATCCATGGCAGTGTTTTGAGGCTGCATCTAAGGCTATCATCTCAGATCTGGCTACACTAATCTGCAGTCACTGGTCAGGTCTGGCACAGACAATGTTTAGCAGGTCTGTCCACTTGTCTCCCATTTCATTTACCAAATAAACACTGCTGCAGAAACCCCCAGTGCAGATGCTCCCAGTGTATGCAGTCATTCACTGAATCTTACATCTCTGTAAAAGGTCTGGGCTAGAGCAAGACTGTGGAGCAGAGACTCCAAGCTCCTGATTATGCAAACAAGCAACATGTTATTATGTTTCCTTCCCAGTTAGTAAGCTGAGTTTTGGCAGATGACAGAGACCAAATAAAACTGGTTCTCTCCATCCCCGTAAATTCTCCTAGAACTCCGCCCTTACTCTCAGAGAAACTACCTGAACTAATTTGAAGAATGAAATGATATTTAACCTATAAAAAGTTGTTGCACTTGATGACTTCAAGGTGTAAATGACTCCTCCTTCCAGTTTATTTGTTCAAATTAAGTCCATATTGGTCGCAATAAATATATACTAAATACTTGAAGCTGCGGACAAACACATTCAGTGAAGTTCCTAATACCCCAGTAATCAACACCCAGAGCAAAATGCCATCACCATAACAGCCACAGCACTGCTACAGGGAGCTATAGATACAGAGATCTCTAGGGCAAGTGCTGGTCATGTCTGTACCAGCATTACTGTGCTGTTTGCCATTTCTTTAATTATTACCTCCTTTTATGCTATTTGTAGCTTCCTTTCCTTGTTGATAAGCTGTCACAAAGCAGTGGTGCATGATAACTCTGAGAAAAGCTCATTTCCATGATGTAATTATGTGTTACAACTGAGTTTGACACCCACTCTCATTGCAAGACTGCTAAGACAACACAATTGCTGTTTTTATCTGGGAGGTTTTCCAACCTTCTTGTCACCATTTATAGCAGCAGAGTAATTGGCCAGGTTTACTGCTTCCCTCTGTGTTGCTTTAAAGGATTAGTCACTGTAGCATCAAATCCTAATGCTTAAAAGTGGAAAGAAAAAACTCATTAGGTCATTCAGTCCATTTCCTCAGAGCCAATATAAGACCATTTTGTACAGTAAATTCCTGGCAATCTGTACAGTCAGAATATAAACAATCCCAGTGAAGGGCATCCCACCTTTTTCCTGGGAAGGCTGTGCCATGGTCTAACAGATGTCATTCTAGGGATGTTTTTCCTGACATTCAGACTGTGTTTCTTTCCATTCTTCCTAGTTACAACGTTTTGTTTTGCACTCATTCATTCTTAATTACCATTACTTAATGACTGATTTATAGCCAACCATATACTTAGCTTCAGCTGGTCTTTAAAAGCCCATTAAAGGCAGGAAGCATTGACAACAAACACCTACATTCTTCCTTCCTCAAAAGGTATTAATTTTAGTGGTTTTGTTGTGCTATCATTTGTTGCCAACAAATAAGATACACTGGAAAATGTCTGGTTTGGTATATATACAGCACTAGGAGAATGAACAAAATTCAGGATGTTGGTTCCAGAAAATTTCATTTTATTTGAAGTTTGGGTTAGAAAATGATGCAGGATTGCAAACAAGCAGAGTGCAGAGTGCCAGATGCACAGGAAGGGGAGAAAGCTCAAATGTACCAACTGTAAAGGCTGATATCTTGACATGACAGATAGCACCTCCTTAGGATCATCTTAGAAAAAACAAAGGTAATAACAAAACTGAAAAAGTTCCTGAAGCAGAAGCCAACTCAGTAAAGTAAAAGAACAGCAAGAGAAGTAAGAAGGGAAATCCAGGTATTTTGGAGTAAAGAAAAGAGCAGGACTGTACTTTCTAGGACTGTTCCTGCTATCATGAAATGTTTGTTGTTTATAATGCTAATTATTCTGATTACATTTTCACATGTGTATGTACTAATGTTCAAGTCCAAACTACAATCCAATTCTGCTGGCATTGAATTGTTTTGTATTTTGTTTGAAAACAATTAAAATATGAAGAACATGATGAAGAACAGTTTTTACAAGGTGCATTTCCCACACCAGTACTGCTAGGAGACATTTATAAGACAGTTTAAAAAAGCCTTTAAAAAAAACTTGCTGTAGGACAAATATCAACAACAGTCTGCAGCCTAATTATTACAATGGATTTATGATAAAAGTCTCTCTCCATGTTAAATAACCAGGATAGATAGATAGACTGGTATTTGTGGTTTGTGAAGTCCTCATGTACATAAAAATGGCTGCAAGAAGAGAAAAAAACCCGCCAGTCCTTCATTTCACCAAAAATAGCATTGCTGCTATCCTTGCTGTTAAAGAAAACTGAAGAAGAATAACAAAACCTACAAGGCAAAGCATATTCAAAGAGCCAAACAGGGGTACTTAGTATCTGTGGACAGAAAATAATAAAAATAAAAAAACACAAACAAAACATGAAAACCAAACCAAAGACACACACTGTGCTTATTGCTTTTCCTTATTAATTCTGAGTTCTCTGGGTCCCTCCCTGATAATCTTGCACCATGTCAGGCTTCAGTTGGGAGTAATGAACCCTTCCCCAGCAGAAGGCACACTGCAGTCTATTTAAAGCCTGTGTAGTGAAAACAGCAATTCAAGGTCAGAGCTGTGTTGCTTCAGCCAAAGCTCCCATGTGGGTGACACTGCAGAGCAGCAGGACAGACTGCAAAGCAGACACCTGTGGGGCAAGGTCCAGCACGGAGGCCAGAATTTACAATAAGCTTGTTCCAATATAAGAAGAATGTCATATATCTATCATATCTAGAAATTAAGGAGAAAAAAACCTCAAAACCTCTGTCTTATAATGTATTAATATCCATAGGAAAAAGCAAAATCACACATCCAGCAATATCATCATCTGTCAAAATTTTGCAAAAAATGTAGAGACAGTGGAGAGATAACAATATATGTGGCCAGAAAGGACAAGCAATTTTTTAGAAATAACTTTATCAGACTATAACAAGCACCACCACACAGAGGAAACACATTACCTTAATGTAAAAGAGGTAGTGGAGAGAAAGGCAAAGCATTTTAACAAATATATTTTATTTTTCACATACTACCTGCTGTTCTTAGAACTTCTAAAAGACACTAACATCACCTAGCTTAAGGTCATGGAAAACTACTTTACTGATGTTTGTGAAGTGTTCTTCAATCCCTTCATTAAAAGCACAACAAATCAATCTTAATACTGTGTGCATCATCATCAGCACCTATAAATACATACCTGGCACCTGTATAGATTCTCTCATTTCTGTAATATCTTTAATATAGAGCCTTGCAAATGCAGAAAACACAGGATCGATACCCCAGTGCAGAGAAGGCATCTCTTCTCCGTACTTCTCAGACTGCATCCAAAACCTGTGAACACAGAAGGACCTGAAATCATTTTCTACAAAGGTGAAGAGCTTTCACATTCATTATTTTTCATATAAATGAAAAAACAGCTCATGAGTATACACACAACAACACAGCAGAGCTGAGGATGAGACACTGGAGTTTATCTAATAAAATGTTATATTTATCTATCAATATTTCATGTGTTGCCACATGAAATATTCAAAGTATCAATACTCATGACTTCTTTGAAGTACTGAGAATCCAGCAACAGCATTTCCCCCAGTAACTTCAAATGAAATAGAATTTCAGAGACTTTTCTTCTCTAAAATCCATAAACAGAGAACTAAAGTCAACATTTATTTAAAAGAGCAGGATTGTGGGATCCTAAGTGGTTACTTTCTCTACAGATGATTATTATTTCCCCATCATTCTCCTTCCCTAACGTACTCATTGTTTGTGCTGTGCTTTATAGTGGAGTTGAGGGAGGATGACTTTATTCAAAACAAAAACAGCCATCCCTTCTTTGTTTTGGGCATGTAGTCTCCACTAACTTTGAAATTGTTACTTTTCCCTTTTACCCTTTCAGATTTTACAGTTTATGCCTGCCATCTTATGCCGTTACAGATCCAATTCTCTGCTTATCACAGTCTTGATGTCAAAACCCCCAGCACTCGATTCAGGAAGATCCTCATAAAGACTTGGAAGCTGAAAATACTTTATATCAGCTTCTCCTGTAGGTGCAGGAACATTGTTCCTGTAAGGCTTTCCAGGTCATCTTCCTTTTACTAGTAAAAGTTAAAAAAAAGTCATTGTTATTTACCCTTCCTTGGACTGGTCATTTCTTAGATGAGATGTTGAAAATATTTGATTTAGTCAGTTCCAGCAGTAACTTCACTACTGAGTAACAAACTGAAATAGTTTGATCACACCTGGATTCGTGTCTTGCTCCCCACTACAGACAGCTCTTCCCAGCCTTTCCTTTTTGCACCTGCAAGGTCTACTCCAAAAGTCACACCATTCCTTTCTCACTCAAGTCTCCCCATGAAGCACCCTTTTTCTACTGCTGAATTGAGATACTTCTCAATAGAAATTTAGAAATTAAGCTGTTAAGTGTATGATTTTAACACAAGTTGCTATTCCTCCATATGGCAGTTCTTTGAATACTTGCTACAGTCGATGTCAAATTTAGACCATAAAGTTTCTCAAAGGAACAAATGGTTTGAACCTGTATTTTACTTGGCATACTCATTTTCTTAACAAAATTAGTTTCTCCATCTCTTTTTGCTTGCAGTCTCTAGTACAAAGTTACATTGCTTTCTGCTTCATGCCCCCCAATTTACTCTGCATGGTTACAAAGCCTGTCACAGCTCAGCACCTGTTTTTCCTTCTAGACAGACAGCAGACTGAGATAACCAGCCAAAAAGAGACAATCAGGTACCAAGTCTGTCTAACCTGTTTTATTTTGGGTAAACAGACACTCCTTGGGGTAAAAAGCAGAAGTCACCCCTGCACATGTGTGCATCTGAGGGGAAATCAATGAAGCAGCTCCACTGAAGATTAAAAATATCTGCATTTTGGCATTTTATAGCCACTTGTCAAGCCTGAAATGCCCAAATGTTAACAGATCAAGTCCAAGCACACTTTAAGCCTAAATGAAGAGCATCTCCCCAAAATTTTTGACTGCTTTCCTGTTCTGAAGGCAGAAGATTTCTGCAGTGAAAGCTCTTTCCATCTCAAAAACAACTGGAAGATAAATCTCAAATTCTGGAGCTTTCTTCTCACTCCCAGGCCTTGTTACAACTCCTCACTGGAGACATTTACAGCCATCATATGTCTTGATGTAGAGACCATTCTGTTTAGGTCAAGCCTGCTACAGACACACAATGCGTTATCTTGCAGATGTGGCAAAGATTCCTTGACAAAAACTAACTTGTGCCCCCAGCACTATGAAGGCATCACGGGATTCTCTGAAGTCGAGAGGACAAATTTGCTTAAGTCCTGAGTTACAGACAGTCCATCCACACCAGGCTGGGGCAGTGAAACCGTAACCCAGCCACCACTCACTGTCAGCAGAGTCTGACAGGCACACCAGGGCATCCTGCACAGCAGCCAACGCCTTCCCTGGCCTCTCCACAGTCCCAAGAGCCTTCCCAACCCCTGGCACCACCCAAAACCAAGCCTATTTTCTTCCTTCCCTCCCAGTGGTCAGCTTGGTAGCTACATTTGAACAGTGGCCTATTTGAAGCCAAAAGTTTGTGGTCAGTTGGAAAGAAAAGATGTTTAGTGCCTCCTGGATGTACAACACTGCTAGTATCAGTCCATTCTTCTCAGCACTTGTCTGTTTGCCCCTAAAGCAAAGCAAGATGTAAATTATTTCCAAAGTATCTATTCAGTGAGTTTCCAAGCTCGTTTCAGGCAGATTGAGAGTATTAAAAACTCTAATTCCTATAAGGCTGACAAAACTCTTCCAATCATTTATCTTTGGATATATAATAGAATCTTCCCGTAACTTTTTCCTAAGTTGGCACAGGAAGCCTCTCCAGCCCGGGGTTAATTCATGAATCATCCTGGCAAAAGTGGAACTTTCCATTATGCTAGAAGTGTTTGCAGCTCTTAACTGGTACCATTGGTGATTTGCTATCAGCAAAGAAGATAAGAGCTGCCCTGTACAATGAAGTGCCAAGGGGCAAATAGGGGCATTGTGGAGATGCACTACGTTCTAATCAATGAAGACCCAGACAGCAAACAATAGACAATTCTGACCAGATACCATCTAATTAATGTTTAAGGATTAAACTGGCTTTGCTGGGAGAGGGCGATCAGGCTTAGCAATATAAACAACACAGAGTCCTAGCAAAAGGTCATTCCTTTCTGCATTTTGTTTTAAGTGCAGTGTAATGACTTCAGGGTTGCTGTAGGGTAAGGAATCCAATCATGTTGCAGGAGAAAAAAAGGCAACAGAAGAATCTAGTCCACAAGCAAATTAGACAGAAGATATCAGCATTCTATTTTTAACTCCAGAAAAAAGCTATGAAGGCATAATCAAAACCAAAAGAAGAATTAAATTGTTCTTGGGAAAACAACTCTGTTTGAAGGGCAGAAATCTAAAGTTTACATAGTAGGTATCTGGATACAAATAAACAAGGCTCAATTTGAGATTATTCTAACATATTAAGATTGGGCTGTCTCTTTCACCCACTGCTATCAATGTTAGCTTTCCTGACTCTACTGAGAAGCCAACCAAGTCCATAACCCCAGAGCTACCTTGTAAGCTCAGCAAGGTATTATCCTAGAAGGGAAAGCAAGGAAAACTGGCACCCTTCCCAACCATTCCACCCTCCAAACCCATTTTCTTTCTTCCCTCCTAAGCAGCCTACTGGGTAGTTTTGTCTCAAGAGCTTCCTATTTAACAACCTATTGATTTATTCAAAATCAGCCCATTTCTTGGCTCATATTCTTGTGCCCACCATGTACCTTTTCCAAAAAAGGTAAACAGTCTTCTTCCAATCCCAGGGCAATTGAAACCTCAAAGAAGAGTATCTGTTTTCATGTTTCTTGTTGTTTTTTTCTCCAAATTTGATTAACAACCAAAGCTCTTGGAGAAAATTGCCTTAGCTTGAGATTCATAATTTTGAGCCAAGAAAACGTGTCTTGCCAGTGGCTGTCTGCAAATGCTCTGCAAGTTCTGGCACACTGCTGCAAAAACTCTTTCTCAAGTTAGCTGTAAAACAGAAACAGAGAATTTATTCACTAATATAGGCAACTTAAACATCCTACCAGGCTTTCACTCTTCTCCAAAGGCTGCCACTACCATGCTAGCACTGACAATTTACACTGGAAACAGCTCCTAAACTGTTGGATTTGCCAACCCAGTGCATTAAAACAACTTAAAGTCATCACTGGTTTACTTGAATAAACTAGGCCAGAAACTGACTGTCAAAAACTGCTCCATGGGTCAGCCATTCCTGCCACAGACAAAGCAACTTGTGGAGAGAGGAGCAGAGTCAACAGCTGGGTTTTGTAACACCCTCTGTCATCTGAATTGAAATCATCTGTGTCTGAGTCAACACCCTATGTGACAAATGGCTATTATTCAACCCTTCATGATCAGCAGAGGCAATTCCAGCATGGTACAGTCAAACCCACCATTTTTCAGGAAATGTTTTTAATTACCTACAGCCACATACAACATTTTAAATTAAAACCAAATAAACCCATTGTATTATTATACAAGTAAATCTTACTGAACTGGGAAGTAAAGCTTTTGGTTACAGTTAATACGGAACAAAGATTCTAGACATGAAACTCACCTATAGGTTTTTAAAAAACACATAGTTAAAAGAAAGTATCCAACACCAGTAACAAGATGAACACCATCACTGAGACCAAAACACATTACTGAAAGGCAAAAAAAGGCTCCTGGAAAACAGCTGCTGGAAAACAATCAAACAGTGAGGTAAGGTCAGTTTGGAACCACCTCCTACCTGGTTATTCTATTATAAATCAAGATGGGGCAAGCACTTTCAGTCTTTCATAATAAACCACTTTCTGCTTCTGTCATGTAAAATCCTGTCAGTTTGGATGCTACATGCTGCATGTCTTGTAGTTCTTACATATAAGTACAATTCCAATTTAAAGACACAGTTTCAAAACAAAATTAAGAAATCTCGAACTCCTCTGAACTTCCAGAAGTTTAGCACTTCTTCAAACATTACTTGTACAAGGGTTTAACATTTGTCTAAGCTGTTCAGATAACAATTTACCAAAAGGAAGAATTATAGATTTTTTTCTCAAAGATACTCCTTGAAATTCTAAACATTGTATGTCTTTTACTTACATTAGTTTTTATTACATTAGTTTTCATTAATTAGTTTTTATTACAAGAGGCCCATCACTGCAACCTTTAGCCAGTGGGGAATCTAAAAACCCATAATGGCACTGCCCACAGTGCCCATAAGGCAGGATATAGGTAGGGGCAAAAAAGCTGTTTTATCAATAAACTGACAAGGCTGTAG